ATTATTTATTTAGCATAACATGTGGATTGCAACTCGCATGTGGCGGGGTTTTGTGTACTCCGCTTTACGCCTTTCCTTGATAGAGTGTCATTTTGGGCCGATAATTTATTCGGGCCCGACCGTGAATTTTTTGGGCCTCAACAGAGTTCTAAATTAAAATTTTCAGAATTACTACAGAAATGGTAAAACTAGAACCAACTTCGTGACTTTGTCATACAATTATAAAACTTGGGCTCCTTATCAAAGTAATGGGTATTTCTCAGAGCTGCATTTACGGCAAAGCAATGAGGGGCCATCAACTGGGCTCATATTCTTTAGTTGGGAGGGTAAGGCTTTTATGGATTGATGAATAAATATGGGGCTTCCTTTTCAGAGTTAGGGTCCAGATGCGCTATTGATAAAACTTTCTGTGAAGTAATGCTTTTTCTAGTGGCAAAAACATTTTCTATAACATAGTTTTTGTGTAATCCTAGATCTTCTGCTGATGTTTCTGTGATGATATCGTTTTTAGGCAGAAAACTATGTTGTTTAGTAGGGATGAGAAATGGGTAACTATCGGGCATTTGGTACCATCATTAGGTGTAAGAATTTGGTGGTAGTATTATTAACACCGATGGTGTTAGGTACACATTGAAGTATCCATTACTCATGCATTCGTTTAGACATACATTTAATATAACCTAAAACGAAAATCAAAAACTCAAAACGACATTTTAGACACTAAAAACCAGATAAGCATAGAAAACATCGGTAGAAGATCCTATTTTGAGTTTCTAATGAAACTTTAATCTGCTTCTAACAAAAAAAGTACTTCATTCCAAGGCTTGTTCACATCTTTTCTTCTTTCTTTCTCTTCTAATTTTGAATGGGAATAAAAATTTGGAATCTATCCTTCACCAAACTTATTCGGTTATTTTAATGTCATCCCAAATCAATGCCCATTGCTGCAGGCAATCTTTAGGTCTGCACACGACTGCCCAGTAAATGGAGGGCAATGGCATTGGTACACACACACCACAATAAATTCCAGTCCATGTATATTTATATATACATATTTATTTTCTCCAACAAGAAGGAGAAGCTTCCTTTGCCGACACTGGCTTTGATTTTTTTTTCTTTTCTCAGTTGAATCTCATCACATACCTCCCATTTAATTCACACATGTTATTGAAGTTCTCTACTTGTCAACCAAATTGAAGACACCTCCCTAAATTCTGCTACACTGCAGGGTCGCATCCCATATTAAATCAAAGTCAATCAAGAGTGAAAGAAACACAAGTGTAAATAGGTCATTCCATTTACCTAGATTATTAGTCCACTTTAAGAAATAATAAGGTCAAGATTCTAACCCTTTTATATTTAAGCTCTGGCTTTTCCCCCTGGATTTACTGAGTTTTTGCTTAATTATAGTGTTAATGGACAGATATGAGATGGTTAATCACTTGAATATTAGCTTATAATCATAACTGGAAAGTAGGAAGGAGCATCTCATCCGAATTATCGGCATACTGACCATACTGTACTTTTTGTTAGTGCCACCAAAATTGGGGCATAGCTTTAAAACTTGCAAGCTGATAATTATATGTGACAATAACTTCATCTTATAAAGTTGTTGAGAACTGATCAGGGTGCGTGTTTTTGAGGTTCCAAACTTGAGGTGTGAGAAAATGTATGTTGAGAAGTACTGAGTGTTGGAATAAATGAATATATGATTCCTCATAAATAAGCTTTGGGAAAAATATGTTTCCTTATAAATCTTGGAAAATTCAAAGGAAAGCGGATCAATCCAGCAAGTCAGGATATTTCTTTCACCTCCTTTTATTTGTTTCTTTATTTTTATTTTAAGGACGGTATATAAATAATATTAATATGAATGTAGTGTGTCCGCCTCTTTACATTTGAGTTCGATCCATTTTATATATATTAAAGTAATTTAGAATATCGCTTAGTAAAGTAAATAAATAAAACTTGGAAGAGAACTCAGACTCTACATAAGCTGGTCCAAGCCTGGTGGGTTTGAAAGTCAAAAGTTCAAACCATCTTTTTTTGGTCAATAAGTTCAAACCATCTATACAATCGAAACTTGGGCTTTGCACTAGTTTCATTGCTTGCTCTAGCCTTCCTCAGCACATGGTTGTTGGAATTTGAATCTAAATTCCATTTCCTCCATATAATATTCTGCGTCTGTGCGTGAATGTGCTTCTTGAGAATGATAGGTGAGCAAATGTGAGTTTGAAACTAATCACATTTTAAAGTCAAATTTAGTAAGTGACATCCTGGGAAAGGAGATGGGAACATAAGCTTGTATTAAAAAAATGATTAGATTCCGTTCCCTATAATAAATAAAAAAATTGGAGGCATATATATTTAATTTTGTGGAACAAAATTGTATACTCCTAAGTTTCACCAAACTCCATAGAACCCTAATTCCCAGTTCCCAGAAACCTTGGACTAGCCTTAACGTAGTTTTGACTCATGGTATTAACACCTCCATCAATATAATAATTGAACACCAAACCAGGCAATAAACTCTGACCTAGTAAAGGGCCGAATTAAATTCGGTTCGGTGGTATTTAGTCTTCACTTTATTAGCGAAAAGTTTGGTGATGTTCAGAATGTTAGGAAAGATAGTCGTTGAATTAAAAATAAAAACCATAACATCCTTAGTTTGGTTATATCTTAATTTGGATAACCATCTTTTGAGGAAGTTTGTTGCATTAGATCTTTCAAGCTAATCAAAGATAGAGAAAGTGACTAGTAAGAGTTAGCAACAACGAACTTAGTTGGATGGTCCTAATCAGTTAGTTAAATAAGATCGTATCTTAATTATCACCCATAATAATAGAGCAAAATTTTCAATGTAAATCTGCAGGTGCAAATAATAATAGAAGGAGACAATTAAGAGGATGGCTAAATGTTTGGTCCAGCTACCTATTGGAGATTATTGATGGGCCAGCTCTAGAAAAAAAACCCCCCCCCCCCCCCCCCAAAAAAAAACAGTTAGATTTTTTTTGTCGTCGTCAAAGTTAGGAAAGATGAGGGGGAAAACTGACACACGGGTGCCACAAGGACTTAAACCCATGACCATCTGGAAGCACACCAAAAGCATGTACCAATCCAACCAACACCCCATTAACTTCGTAATAAAATAGAACCGGGAACCCTATTATTGTTCAGTTCATGTGGAACTATCAGAAATTATCAATATTAAAAGCTTCAAAAAATTACCTGGTTTACAAGAAAGTTCCTGGCGACAAAAAGTTAGGGTAGAATTTGGTGTCAACGAACTTTTTTAGGTGACGATTTGGCATGCAACTTCCTTGTGGATGTGTATATGACCAGTTTTTGACTTCACAACCCAAAGTTGCATAACGGCCAAATAGATGAGATTCATCAGATGCTGCTAAAATAGAGTAAATTCCATTTGCCAAAGGAAGAAAAAGTGTGAATTCAAGGCTCTAGCTCTAGGTACTTGTCCCATAGGTTGGTTTTTCTTGTTGTATGTAATGTAACACACACCTGTGGCTGATAACGGTATTATAGATCCACACGTGTCATTCTAAAATGATATCTTCTTTCTTATTAGACTTCTAAAATGATATTAAAATTACCGTATAATACTCACGTACATACATAATCTTGTAACTACAATACTTAAAAGCATCCGCAATGACCTTGCATTCGGAGTCTATATTTTCATTTCCGTCATCTCTCAATATCGTTCGTATAAAGAAAGATAAACACTTTTTTAAATTGAAATAGGTTGTAATTTCTCATATATTTTTGAACTCTACATATAAAAATAAAAATAAACTCCTTTCTGATAGGATTTATAACTATAATGTTTCAACTTAATAGGCTTTAACCCATTATAGACTCATTGTCGACCATTATGCAAATAGGTGAAAAAATAGTCTATATTAACGATGGTTCTTATATATAAACTCAGTTGTAACGAAAATATCAATGTTTTGTTATCTTCGACCAATAACGTTACGTCATATCATATAAAAGTGTTATCACACATGTAATAACGTTATTGGTCAAAAATAGTAATATAGTGTTATTTCTATTTCACGAAATTCTTTCTCCATTTTGACATTGGTGCATGTATGTATATTTATAATGTATGTACCCTATCCTGAAAATGGCCAGTGATACTAATGCAGGTCCTCCACTATCCCAACCCACCAAACAAATTTAACAACAACCAAAAACAAAAGACAAAAAATAGTTCAATCTCATCAATTGGGACTTTGACCATTCAGGAGCATCATGATGAGGTGGAACTTTCCCCAAAGAAAAACCCTAATAAATGATTTTTGAAGAACCCTCCAGTGGGGCAACTGGGAAAGCCCATCAGGCAAAGCAAGCTAAAGACAATGTCTGCAAAAAGAAATTTAAGGAGAGAGAGAGAGAGAGAGAGAGAGAGGCAGCTGTGTAAGGAAAGAGAAGGGAAAAAGAAGAAGAAGGGAGGTTTAGGTTATCACATGGGGTTAGGAGGACTTTTTACCCCGTGCCTTGCTGTAATGATATTCTACACACGCAGCAGCAGCAAGCATTGTACCAAACGATGCAAACCCAACTGGGTATAAAAAAATAACCCAGCTAGTGTTAGTTTAATTTGTTGTGTTTGGACCAACGGTCAAAGAAGGGTTTAAAAAAATAATATTCTTCAATAAAGTTGCATAGACCCCACAAGAGAAGCCTTCTTCATCACCTGGGGCTTTGGGGCCCTGAAGAAGAAAGTGCCGAGCACCAAGTGACCAACCAACCCTAGATGCTGTCAAGCACCAAAGAGAGAAAAGATGAAGAATAGAAGATATTCATGGAGATGGGGAAGATTGTACCAGTCAAAAGTAAATCAGAGAAATAAATACTGGTAAAAATACTCATGGCACTTGCCAAAAATGCTCATTGCTAAAAATAATAAGCATAAAAAAGAACAGAAAAATATATAAAACTTTGAAGAAAGTTAAATTGCAGAATGGATGTAGAGATTCAAGAAAGAGAAGGATTCTGATTACTATATTCATGAACATTCAAGACTTGATGACTGACAAAATGCCAGAATACAACAAGAGACCCCCCATATTCAAAGATATGTTGGTTACACCAGTTTAAGAATAAAAATTCAGTACAACCCCCTTTTTTTTCCCCCATGCCTTCTAATATCTGTCTGCCTTACAAACCCAGAAACAACTTTTGCATCAATCAAACAACAACAAAGATTAGCACACACCCAAAAACAGTAAGAACTACCAAACTAAGGCATTAGGCTCAAACTCACGCCAGAAAGTGGCGATTTCCTTAATACCGCCACTCCTGAATTTGTGAAAAATAATTAGTGGAATTATCAAAAGGTTAATGGTTCCGCTGTACTGAAGCTTCGCCACCTTCCCTCATGCACCGAAGGTAAACTAAAACTGAACCTCCATTTGCTCTATCCCCAGCTGGAAAAATCGAGCTCCAACACCTTTGTTGGATTCTGCACTGAGAGTATAAAGATTCATTCAGGCCCAGGTGAAACCTGTGAATGATTATGCTCTCTATTTACAGACTATGAGGCACAAACCAACGTCCAAAAACGCGACGCAACTCCTACTTTGTAAACTTCTAAGGTGTTAGCTGATTTAAACTTGCTACCAGTATAAACAATTGCCCTAATTCAGTGCAGGCCCCATGTTAGATTTCCATCTTCCAGGTCAGGCTTTCAACACTAGCATTATGCTCTTTCTCAAGTGCAGCAACTTTGGCCCGATGCGCTGCTATTGCAATCCCACCACCCTTTCCTCTTTCATCATGAGGAAGCTCGCATGTTTCACTGATTGTCCCCGATCTTAAGTCAGCCGGGGGGATGAAGCAGTCCACTGACAAGCCTGGAACATTAAATGCAACCTCCTCAATTGTCCAAGCTTCTTCCATTCTTGTTTTGGTATGGCTCATTGCCATGTCACCAAACCTGAAAAGGGTCACCACGGAACGCCCTGAGTGTGCAATCATGATTCCTTCAACAGGCCTGTAATCATCAAGGAATGAATTGATTGTGGTTTCCCAGTAAATTGCATCACCACCATTGGATTGGATGCGGGTCAAATGGGAATCCTCCATATGAACAAGAAGCCCTGTCCTCTGGCTGAAGTAGCCAAACAACACATGTCTTATGATCTCTGCAGGGCCTTCACTCCTGGCTTTCAGAGTCTGAGGATCAGCACAAAGCTTGAGGATGAAGCAATCCTCACCATTGATCTTTCTCTCTCCTATACATCTTGCATCCGTAAACATGCTAGCTGTAGATCTTGGATCTAGACCCTGAAAAAGAAAAGCCAAAGAAATTTGTGAATAAGCTGGATGACTAACCGTATGGCCAACAGAAAGAAGCACAAACTAGCACACAAAACTTCACCTGAAGTGCACGTCGCAATGGTCTCACTGGTCCTTTTGCAGTATGAGCACCAAGCCACGGTGTGTGCCTCCAGACAAGCTTTCCATTGCAGCCAGCATGAACCTTGCTGCCCCCTACCGCAAGCTCCACATACCACATGTCCGGATTCATCTGCCAGAGCACAAACCCACCTGACTCTGCACATTTAGAGGCATTTCTGGTCTTCGTCACCTTTGTGGCAGTTTCAAACTCAGAAGCTACCATCCGAACTTTTCCCATTGCATAAGCATTTTTTATTGAGTTCTGCAGCTTCTGCCCACCAGACGCCGCTGTGTACTGCTGCAATATGTACTGGGCAGAGGAAGTTTCCTGCAAAGATTAACATCCATTAACACCAACTCTACAGTTGTTACATCCAATTTGGAGTAATTTTTAACAAATGATTCCCAATCCAAAGTTCAATGCAATCTAAAGAAAAATCTTCTGCAATAAATTACTAGCTGTCATGATCTGTTATTTTGGCGAGAAAATGCAAGAAAACAAGTAAGCTTTAAATATCATGGTTTTGTCAGTATCTGGAAGCTTAGAAATTAAATTCAACCAGCCAGTTAAGCTCATTGGCCTGCTGTGCTGAACTTTCCACAACATGTAACGTCTGATTAAGATTCCCTTACATATCAGCCTTTGCTCTGATTTCTCGGTTACTTTCTCGCATGCCAAACAAGGAAGAGACCAAACCACCAAAATGACAATAATCAGAAAAGTCTAAATCCCAAGTGAAGAAGTTGCAGAAAAAAAGTTTAAAATAAAACACTAAAAAAACCAATGACCCCGGATTAAATCATCGAATGATCTTCAAATTTACGCAAAACATGGAGAAATAAATTATCAGTGCAAATCTAATCAACTATATACCGTAAGAAGCAATTCATACCCCATCTCCACGAACCCAATTGGTTCAAGAAGAAAAAGATAAAAGAATCCAACCATTTTTGTAAATAACTCCAAAGTCCAAAATCAGTTCTTGTAATCTTGTTCCAGTTCAAAATTTTGAAATACCACCACCACAGCAGCATAACAACAAACCAAAACAAAGCCATAATGCATGAAAGCAATTGTTTTTCAGAAAACAAAAACCCAACCCACAAGGTTTTTTTGTTGTTATTCCCCGGTTAGAGTTACCATCCCAGAAATAAAGAACACGTTAGAAAAAAAAATATTGCCATAAGCCCCAAATAAGGTAGCACAGAGAGAGAGAGAGAGAGAGAGAGAGAGAGAGAGAGAGACTGACGATGGGAGTGTTTTTGATGCTCAGATGAGGCAGAGGGTCGGAGGAGCTGACGTGTAGGGGGCCGAGAGGAGCCCCCATGACTCCAAGCAACAGTCTCAGATCAGACCTCCTGCTGTTGCTTTGCGCCACAGAGCTCACCGAGGGGGTCCGCGAGAGCTGCCCACGCATCCACTGACCCAAACCCGACCCGACCCGCTTCGATTCCCCGAGTTCCCCTCCGTCCGGATCCGGACCTTCCATCACCGGCCTCAGGCTCCCGGATCTTCCAATCAACGGTTCCGGCTGCGCCACCAGCTGGCCACCGTGCCCGTGGCTGTGATGATGGGTCTGCTTCTTCCTCCGGAGCAGCCCCGCCCTGGGCG